ATTTGTTAAGACTTATTTCTTGAAAATTGTTTTGTTATTTATATTATTTGCCACCCATTTTTTGTGCCCAAACACATTGCGTACATGTGGTCAGCTGCACGTTTTATAAAGCACATGGTATGCAATGTGTGCTTTGGCTGGGTCAAATGGTTGAACAAATATTCAGTTAGCATGTACTATGTACTATTTATTTGCGTAATATTTATGGTGTATCGCTCGACTTCTGCACAATATAAGAGAAATGTATATTTAATTTACTGTACATTTATGATAAGAATGTTTGATTACTTCGAATATTATAGTTTCCCTTATGTTTGTATATTTAGAACCCATATCTGGAGATTTACTAACCTGTTCTGATTCCGTAACGATTGACAATATATAAATATACGATATAACCAGAGTACGCGTTTCTAGTTGGTGGTGTAAGAGACTGTATTACCTGTGGGAGCTTGTGATGTCTACATAGTTCTTGTTTAACCTTCGCTGAAGATCATAATTTTGTGTTGCCTTCATACCTTGTACATACTGGTAATACTGCTGTCAGTCAAGTGAATATCGTGCTGTGAATGTAATATCCTAGATCATAAACCCGAGCAAGACAGGGAAATGAGTCTGAATCAAAGATATTCGCAAAATAGGGACACGTTATTTGACCTGGACCGAGCCAGTATGCAACTCGATAAGATGCATCGTTTGAAGAAATCAACAGCTTCATATGGCGGTCATCTTACCAGAGTCTACACTGAGATAGACAGTATGATGTCCACAAAGGCAGCATACCATGAAGTAAGCAAGAAAAGTTGTGCTCTTGAGAAAATATTCAACTCGTATAAAAAAAACTTGTCGTGAATATATGCAGTGTCTATCTCCAATGGCAAGAGGTGCTGTCGAGTGAATACGAGGTTGAGCTTGAAAGAAAGGAGTATTTTGATCAGAGGCACAGAGAATGGGTATTCCAAACAATGGAGTCTCCTGGCCCAAAGGAAGAGATAGACGACCAAATGGAAGACGCATTGGAACATGGATTTCTCTTGGAAAGGAAAGTCCACATGCCAACTCTAACCACAGAGCCAAATGCCTCGGTTGATTCACACACTTCATCTTGGCCTCAAATCCCACAAGAAAACAAGACAAATCCATGGGATACTGGCAAGGGAGAATTCTTGGATGTGGATACTGAGGATGGTAGAATAGGTTCCAACTCCAATACAAAGACAAGTCGTGTGTCTAGGGAAGCAAGGAGGAAACTCGCTTTAGCCCGTTGTGAGATAAACCAACTCAAAGTTGAAAAAAACAGATAAAGCAACGCATAAAAGAGTTGCAGATTCGAGAAGAAACAGAAAAACGTCTGCTTCAGATGCGTCAAGAGAGGGAGCAGCAGGAAGCAGAAATGGAAATTATGCAAGCTCAAAATTGGGTAAGACAAGCTAAGGTAGAAGTAGACTTTATAGATGAAGAAATTTAATCTGACCAGAAGTCTGATATACTCCCTGGTTTGCAGAGGCAGACCCAACAAGAAATGATGAGCAATTATTTCCAATCGTATATACCATCGTGTAGTCCAGCCAATAGTCAATTCAGACTACGGGGGCATCAAGTCCACAACATACAAACTTCGTTGATAATGCACATGGTACCAACGAACAATATCATAACAGAGGAGGGCCTATAGGGAAGCAGATGACCCCGAAGAAGTCAAGTAATGGTGCTGCTCTCTCTGAAACGTTCCAATTACAGAAACTGTTAGAAAGTCAACAGAAGACAATGGAATGCATTGTACAGAATCAGCTGGAGACTACCAAAGCATTAGCCATTAACTTGAGTATACCAAAACACGAGTTTCATACCTTCGATGGTGACCCGGTTGCATATCCAAACTTTATCAAAAACTTTGAGGTGAACATAGAACAATTAGTCAAGGATGATAATGTCAAACTATCATATCTTATCCAACACTGCACTGGCGCAGCTAAGGAAGCAATCAGAAGCTGTGTAATTCTCCCTCCAGAGCGAGGATATACAGAAGCCCGGAAGATCCTTTCTACAAGCTTTGGTCAGAAACACGTCATAGTGCATGCTACAATTGACAAAGTGGTGAAAGGACCTCAGATAAAGGCATATGAAGTGGATAAGCTGCAGAAATTGGCTCGTGATATGAAGAATTGCCACCTCAGTTCAGAGCAAATGAATTTCCATGCTGACATCAATTCAATGGATACCCTGGAAAAGGTGGTTAGGCGGTTACCATCATACTTGCAATCAGATTGGGCCAAGCAAGCTGGCAAGTTGATCAGTGTGGGCACTGAACCTGAATTCCTGCACCTTACCCACTTTCTGGGGAACAGATCAGCAATTGCAAATACAGATTTGGTAAATTGGTAGGATCTAAGCCTGATGGAGAAAAAGATTCAAATGTCAGATCAAGACAAAAGCCAAGTAAAGCTACTACATTGGCCACACATGTAGCTGACACGCCTCCCATAAATCTTCCTTCTAAGTTTGCCTCCAATGATGTTGGTGCTGATGATACTTCCATGATCGAAGCTAATGGCAGGAGAGGTTGTCTGTTTTGCAGTGGTAGCCATGCATTTGAACATTGTCGAAAATTTACGTTCAAACCGTTCCAAGAGAGAAAAGACTTCATCAGGGAACACAGGCTCTGTGACTGTTGCCTGGAAGCAAGACCTCCTCACTTGGCTAGGAATTGTAGAAGTGGCCGTATTTGCCCTATCGTAGGCTGTGGTAAAAGTCATCATCCTTTGCTTCATCTTGCAACATCAAACTCAGCATATCAAACATCTGCAGCTCCCAAGACATTCAGCAATAGTAATCTGAAAACTCCCACCACAGCTCAAAATGAGAGACATAGTAATGTCATTGGAAGCAAGGCGCAATGTAGTGCTACACAAACCAATCAACCACGCGTGAGTTTACAGGTGATTCCTGTTCGTGTCAGTGGGGTAGATGGAGGCCAAGAGATTGAAACCTATGCATTTCTCGACAGTGGTTCTGATTCGTCTATCTGCCTTTACAGCCTTGCTGATAAATTAGGCATTACAGGTAAACCTGTCAATTATACATTGTCCACACTGAATGCAGAGGCAGATTAATGGTCATGAATTACAGATGGATGCAAGAGGTCTAAATTTGGTCAATGGTGTGCGACTGGATAAAGTTTGGACAACGGATAGATTACCGATAGCAGCTGACAGTATTCCGACCAAGTTGGATATAAAAGGATGGTCTCACCTGAATGATATAGAATTGCCAGAGATAGAAGTTAAAGACGTTACTCTCCTCATTGGGAACGATGTCCCCGAGGCACATTGGGTTCTTGAGGAGCGTCGTGGTGAAAAGAAGCAACCATATGGTATTTGAACACTACTTGGTTGGACATTCATTGGACCAATGGGCAGAAAGAAGCGTGGAGGTAACAGCATCAATTTTATTAATGTTGACCAAGTCTTGGACTCTGATTCCCCAATTCAGTGTCTCGAACCTACAACTTCTCAGCTTCATCACATGTACAATGCAGATTTCACAGAGTGGTATGGTACGTCAAGTGGTTGTGCCAAAACTGTTGAGGACTCGTGTTATGGAGATTGTCCATGATTCGATATTTGGTGGACACATGGGGATAAAGAAGACAGAAGACCAGATTGTGACTAGCTTTTATTGTGGCAGCACCAACTAATACACTAAAGACAGGCGATCACGTTCTTGACTGATGTGGCATATCTCTTTAATCGCATCTTCAACTTAAATATACCAACACCGTAAGATCTAGCAATTAACAAAAACATAACAAATCACTAAATCTTAATACAAATACGGTGTAAAATATCCAGTACTAAAAAATATCTCTAAATACTACAGTTCAGTACTTCACTATTTCACCATAGATGGCGCTATCGCTGAAGGTCACAACATAACAAATAATAATTACAGTATTTCAACTAACACGATAAAACCGATTCTTCAACAATACAACAAGTAATTCTTCCACTACAATGAATGTGGATACACTTCAGTCCTTTCACGAGTCCATATAATAACTTACTAACAATGATTGATACTATGCTAAACACGGTGATGACGAAATCGTACACATAGTAATGTAAAGCTTGAAAACACAAGTCAGTATAACATCAAAAAAGCTCTATGTTGATCCATACTACAACAAACTACTCTCTGAATACTCAAAGTACAAATAATACAGCTGTATATTACCTCGTGGGCCTATTTAGTTGGTACTCCAAGAGTGATTATCGACGAAATTGCGTCCTAGCGATCAACATTACGAACAATGGAAACATGGCTACTGTTGCATCATGGGACAAACAATCCACGGTAATACGCAACAAAAAACTCGTGCAGACAATAAATCTGCCCTATAAATACAAAATATATATTGCTACAAATAATAATTTAACATGAAATAATTACATGAAATAAGAAACTATTTAATAAAACTACCTAGTCTTTGTTCCGTTCACGACTAACACTAGAGGGCGCTGTTAACACAAAAATGCCGTGAAGTCTCAGTGCACTTTGTCAGCTACACTCCCACCAAATCAATCATTCATAAAGGTACATAAAAGTAATATTGTTTATACTTGAGTGATTTCAAAATTAATATAAGAGTTCCTGAGAGTTAGTATATATATATCTTATAAAAGCTTGATCACAGTACAGGCTTCACTCGCTTTCCAGAAGAAGAATCAGTTTCTGGACAGGTCTTTCCAATACTGATAGCTTGCTTTCTCTTCTACCTTTCTTATCAATGTTCTTAGTACCAATCTGAACTTTAACCTTTCTGACTAAACCATCATCGCTTGCCACATCTCAGTTACGATACCCAATGGCCACTGCATTCGATGAAGTTGTTCATCTTTCAATAAGACTATGTCTCCCACCTTGATATTACGTCTCTGTGTGTTCCACTTCTGTCGTTTTGTCAGCGTATTCAGATATTCATTCTTCCATCTACCCCAGAACTACTCAGCTAAATACTGTACTCTTCTCCAGCGTTTCCTGATGTACAAATCTTCCTTTACAAATTTACCTGGAGGGGGCAGTGCTAATGATGTTTTCATGGTGAGTAAATGGTTTGGAGTTAAAGGTTCAGGACTTGTAGGATCATTCAGCATCTCTACTGTGAGTGGACGGCTATTAACAATGGCCATAACTTCATACAGAAATGTACGTAGTGATGCAGAATCAAGACGACCAGAAGACTGTAGTAGAAGTGATGACAGTACGCTTCTGATTGTCCTGACTTGTCGCTCCCACACACCACCTGTATGACTAGCATATGGAGGATTCATAACAAATTCACACTGATGCTCTGCCAGAAATACTTGGATTCTTTCTGTGTCTAACTCCCGCAGAGCTTCTTGAAATTCATTCCGTGCTCCTACGAAGTTGCTACCCTGGTCAGATCGAAACTGTAGCACAGAACCTCTAATCGCAATGAAACATCGAAGACTGTTAATAAAACAATCTGTTGACATATCACGAAGCATTTCAATGTGGACAGCCCTGTAACACATGCACGTGAACAGAAGTCCATACTTCTTGTGCTGTTTCCTTCCATCTTTAACAATAAAAAGACCAAAACAGCCCATACCACAATCTGCAAAAGGAGGTGAAGGTTCTACTCTGTCTTCTGGTAGATCTGCCATTTTTTGCTCTTCTGCAGGACGGCGAAGACAACAACATTTGACACACTTGTGAATGTGACTGGCTACAACCTTGGTTCCTCCAATGACCCAATACCTATTGGTTCTCATTTCATTAAGTGTCATTCCTCGTCCTTGGTGCTGAACTTTACTATGGAAAGTGTGTAATGATCAACCTAGTGACATGGCTATCTCTCGGCAGAATGACTGGGTGTTTGACGATATCTGGAACCCTAGCTCTCTTTAAACGACCTCCAACTCTTAGAACACCAGCGTCATCAAGGAATGGGTCCAATTTGTAAATACTACTACTTCCATTCACTCTGGCTGACCTCTTAATAGCTCTAATTTCTTCAGCAAAGGCTTGATTTTGGATTGATTTAATTATAAATCTTTCAGCTTCCTGTCTTTCTTGGGAACTGCAAGGGTCACTCATTCCTTTCTATCTCTTAAAACTCTTTTAATGCGTGCCAATGCCCCGACAGCTCCGGACCATTTAGAGAAACGGGACATGCAAGTCTCCAAGTTGAATGGTTCTTCTTGTGTCACAGCTGAGAAAGTTGTCACATTTCTCACTTCAGGATCTCCAACATTCAATTCATAGGTTGATTCTTCCACTATTTCCAACTCTCTTTCCCACAGAAACTTTGGTCCCTGAAACCAGTTTGAGTCAAGCAGCTCAGAAGCGAAAACTCCCCTAGAGGTGTGATCAGCAGGATTTTCTCTAGATGAAACATAATACCATTGACTGCAGTTAGACAAATGCCTGATACTTTGGATTTTATTTGCTATAAATACGTGGAACCTTCTGGCTTCATTTGCGATATATCCTAAAACAACCTGAGAGTCTGTCCAGAAGTACTCTCCATCAATATTGACATTTAATTCTTCCTTCAGTCTATGGCTCATGTTTGCAGACACTATTGCAGCAGTCAACTCTAGACGTGGGATGGTAACTACTTTAATTGGGGCAACTCTGGTCTTTCCAACAATCAAAGTACAGTGTACTCGATTCTCACCAACAAGTCGAAGGTAGGAACATTGACCATAACCACAGGTGCTGGCATCCGAGAAGTGATGCAGCTCAGTGCTCAGGATCTTGCCAAAGTCATGTGGTTTGTAGCTCCTTGGTACTTGAACTGCTTTTAAATTCTCAAAATCAGCTTTCCACCTATCCCTTATTGGCCGTAAATTATCAGATAGCGGTTCATCCCAACCTATGTTTTTCCTACACATTTCTTGAAGAATTCGTTTGCCAATGAGGATGAATGGAGCGAGAAATCCCAGTGGATTGTAAATTGAAGCTACTGTAGAAAGAATTCCACGTCGTGTGGGAGGTTGATCTTTAGCCTGTATGTGAAACTTGAACGTATCTGATTCTACGCCCCACTGGATCCCAAGTACTCTCTCTATTGGTAGACTGTCATGACTCAAATCAACATTCTTAATTCCACTGGCTCTTTCACTCATGGGTATGGCTTTCATTACTTCTCTGCTGTTTGAAATAAACTTGTGAAGATGTAGTCCTCCTTTAGAACACACGGTTTGTACCTCCTTCACTAATTTAATTGCATCATCTGTTGATTCTGTACTGATAAGCCCATCATCAACATAAAAGTCACCCTGTAAGAAACTTGCTGCTAGGGGAAACTCTATCTTATTCTGGTTAGCTAGATACTTCATGCCATAATTTGCACACCCTGGAGATGATGCTGCTCCAAACAAGTGTACCTTCATGCGGTATTCTTGGGGTTCAGTATTGATGTCACCATTCTCCCACCATCAGAACCTTATGTAGTTGCGATCTTCTACATGTACAAAGAACTTCTCTACGTCACACATAATGGCTATGAGATTTTTCCTGAATCTGCAAAGTACACCAATCAAAGAGTTTATTAAGTCGGGTCCAGTGAGTAGATGGTCATTCAGGGAAGTCCCACCATGGCGAGCTGAGCAATCAAAAACTACCCTTATCTTCTCAGGCTTGTTAGGGTGGTACACCCAATGATGCGGTATGTACCAGACCTTTCCATCTGTCACTTGGTCATCAACTTTCTCTACCTCACCCTTTTCTATGACATCATTCATAAATCTCTTATAGTCTGAATAATATTTTAGGTTGGTGTTGAATTTCTTCTTCAAATGTTGCAGACGAATTGACGCCATTCTCTTGCTGTTAGGAAGTATAGGTTTTCCAGATTTAAAGGGAAGTGGCATACTGTAATGGCCACTTTCTGTTTGCTGGATACCAGTCTCTAGAATATTGAGAAACTTGATATCATCTTGTGAAACTGCTTTCTCTCCTTGACTCTTCTCTAGAAAGTCAGCTTCCAAAACATTGAGAATTTGTTTAGGAGCTATAAAAGGAACTTCTTTCACTGAGATACGGTGGCAAATACGTGTAGCGCTATTGCATACCGGATCTTCATATCCAACGACACTCCATCCCAGATCTGTCATCACAGCATATGGTTCATTACTTTTACCAATGATAGTCTCCCTTGGTACCAATGCTTGTGGGCAGTTGTAGCCAATAAGCATACCTACTTCACAGTCTTGCAGGGGAGGAAGCTCATGAGCTATTCTCTGCAGGTGAGACCATCTCTTTGCTGTATCTGTGGTTGAAATGTGTGATCTATCAGTTGGAATAATATCTCTGGTATACGATTGTGGGATGTCTATGCATACAGATGAAGACATTCCTCTGACACGCAAGTCTGAAACAACATTGCAGTCAACAATGGATGATGCTGAAGCCATTGTTGAAAGTTTCAGTCGGACTGGTTTACATTGAATTGACAGAGCCTTTGCTATGTCTTCTAGAATAAATGTGGAGTCACTTTGTGTGTCTAATAATGCATATGTTAGCACTTCCTTAGGAAGAGACCCTTTGGAGGACACCCAGACTGGTACTATCATAGATGTACTATTGCTGTCACCAAGTTGAACCTTACATGACACTGCTGATGCTTCTGACGTTGGTTTGGTTGTGTTTCTATCTTTATAGTTGTCATGGATTATTGTTGGGTGTTTCCCTTGGCACTTCTCACATGTTAGTCTTCGTCGACATTCTCTGGAAATGTGTCCTTTCTTGAGACAGCTAAAGTATACCGTTTTCCTGTAAGTATTGCCTTTTCTCTTCCTGGGACTTTCTCTCAAACTCAGTGCATGAACTTAGTTGATGGTCAGTCTTCTGACAAAAAGGACATGGTTTTGGTACATACGTAGTGGAGTTAACTGTTTTTTTAGCATCAGATTCTTTGTTGACCTGCTTTGACTCTGTACTAAATGTACCTCTGATTCGGTTGAACCTTTTAACTTTATCTTTGGGCTCTCTTACAGTTTCTGTGAAGCTTGATTCTCTAATAGCACCCAGCGATGAAATTGGATTACATGCGATGCGTGCTTCCTTTGACACAAACTTGACAAAGTCTTGAAAGCTTGGATATTCGCCTTTTTGATCCAACACTTGCGTCACCTCTCAATTCCATTGTTTAGCAGCCCAATCAGGTAGCTTCAATAATAATTTTTGATTTTCCTCACAGTCATTCAAAATTTTCAGCCCAGGTATGTGCGGGATGGCATCTTTGCAGGCCTTGAGGAAATCTGCAAATTCTTGTAGACCTGCTGCATCTCTGACACCAATCCTTTGCCACTTGAATAACTTATCCTTGAAGGCCCTTTGAACTTTAAAGGGATGGCCATATCTTTCTTCTAGCAGGTTCCATGCTCCTGTATAGGATTCCTCAGAGTTGCTGTAGAAAAACCCTTCTACTGCCTTCAGTGCTATACCACCTACATACCTCCTCAAATAGTACATTTTTTTCGGCAGCTGAGATACCTCTACTCTCAATGAGACTCTTGAAGCTTGTCTTCCATTGAATATACTGCAAGGGATCCCCAGTGAATACGGGCGGTTCTGGCAATGGCAACCGACTCATCAAGCTATTCTGTAAAGCACAGGCCAGAGAGGATGAATCCATAGACGGCTGTGTTGGATTCGGTTTTGTGTTATCATTTGAAGCATGAGGGAACTGTTTACTTGCCAAAATGTTCTCATCCTTGTCTTCAACTTTGCAAACATCCTGGCATACTTGGTCATACACTTTAAACTTGGCTTTAGCCTTCTCTAACAGTTTCTCCTTTTCTATACGTTCCATTTCTCTTTTTTTCAGCTCTTGTTTATGACGCAAAATCTCTTGTTGATGCTCAAGATCTTCTAGCTCCACTTGTTTAGCTTCAGTAGCCTTTAACATCTCTAACTCTGCTTCTTGTGCTGCAATTTCAGCAGCGGCATCTGCACGTTTTTCTACTGAACTCATTGACACATGGGATGATCTAGATGTTGTGGTACTGAATATAGATCTATTGTCATCATGTTGCAGCAAGTTATGTAGTTGCTGACCATGTGTTATTTCACCACTGGTGTTTTCTTTCTTGTTTGTAACTATTTGCAGAAGTTGGGTAGTAATGGCAGTGCAAGTGTCAGTCTGACTTAGCATTTCCTGGCCTGGTGGACAAACTTCACGCAGGGCTTCATATGCATTGATGACTTCATCTTTGGCCATGTTCAATGTCGTATACATACTATCTAGCATGTCTTCAGTACAATAACCCTTTAAACGGGTACGTCCAGATTTAGTTGCCAATTTCCACGATTCATATTTCTGATTGAAGGCCTTATCCTATGTTTTGATCTTTCATCCTCTCCCTTTCCTGATACTCAGCCATTTTCTCTGTCAATATGCGAGTTCTTTCACTTCTGCGTGGATCAGCTGGTTTGCTGAGCTCTAAGATTTCTTCTTGCATTTCTTTCATACCTTCCAGAATTCTTTCCCTTTCTACATAGTTGGTTTCTGTCTCAAGGGCATCCTGGAATTCTTCTATCTTCTGTTCTAAATGTTTGATCTCTTCTTCTATCTCCATATTTGCCAAATATAACACAGTAATATGTTGTTTCAGCTAACCACTATTGTTAACTATTTCTGGTTGCTGGCTTGTTGTCTTACTTATCTGTGTATGTTGCCTTGTATCTTGCTTCTATTAACATCGCCTCAGATGGCTGAGATCTTACTGTGGCAGCACCAACTAAATTACACTAAAGACAGGCGATCACGTTCTTGACTGATGTGGCATATCTCTTTAATCACATCTCAACTTAAATATACCAACACCGTAAGATCTAGCAATTAACAAAAACATAACAAATCACTAAATCTTAATACAAGTACGGTGTAAAATATACAGTACTAAAATATCTCTAAATACTACAGTTCAGTACTTCACTATTTCACCATAGATGGCGCTATCGCTGAAGGTCACAACATGACAAATAATAATTACAGTATTTCAGCAAACATGATAAAACCGATTCTTCAACAATACAACAATAATTCTTCCACTACAATGAATGTGGATACACTTCAGTCCTTTCATGAGTCCATATAATAACTTACTAACAATGATTGATACTATGCTAAACACGGTGATGATGAAATCGTACACATAGTAATGTAAAGCTAGAAAACACAAGTCAGTATAACATCAAAAAGGCTCTATGTCGATCCATACTACAACAAAACTGCTCTCTGAATACTCAAAGTACAAATAATACAGCTGTATATTACCTCGTGGGCCTATTTAGTTGGTACTCCGAGAGTGATTATCGACGAAATTGCGTCCTAGCGATCAACATTACGAACAATGGAAACATGGCTACTGTTGCATCATGGGACAAACAATCCACGGTAATACGCTACAAAAAACTCGTGCAGACAATAAATCTGCCCTATAAATACAAAATATATATTGCTACAAATAATAATAATTTAACATGAAATAATTACATGAAATAAGAAACTATTTAATAAAACTACCTAGTCTTTGTTCCGTTCACGACTAACATTAGAGGGCGCTGTTAAACAAAAATGCCGTGAAGTCTCAGTGCACCTCGTCAGCTACAGTTGACTCGTGGCGAGCTGCCACGCTGGCAAGCAAGATGGCTGCCAGGCCGTTGACAACACCTTTCTTGGGGCTGACTCGTAAACATGGAATCAAGTGTGAGTCAGTCAGTGGTATTCCGATTGTTTCTTATGTTGATTCCATCTCAAAAAATGTTGGTGCTAAGAATATTATTGCTGTATCTAGGGCAAATGGCAGCGTGATTATTTTCCTCGACTCAATAGCTACTGTCGACCAAGTGTGCGCTACCGGCATTACTGACATTGGTGACACATTTATTAATATTGAACCGCTAATTAAACCAGCCACTAAAGTGGTTTTGTCAGTGTACCACCGTTCATTCCGAATTCACTACTCGAGGAACAGCTCAAACGATATGGCAGAATTGTAAGTTCTGTGCGAATGATACCGCTTGGCTTGAAGCAACCCGAGTTGCGTCATGTTATGTCTTTTCGTAGACAGGTCTACAT